CTCTGTGTGCCCTGCGATTGGCTGGCAACCGGTTCAGGGTGTCCCCCGCCTACTAACCGAAGACAGCTGGGACAGGCTCCAGCACCCCCCGTGACCCTTGTGAGGATAAAGCGGACCGGAAAATGAATGAATACTGATGGTGTAGTGGTACACTTGCCTGACTTGTGTGCGGGCAGCGTGGGATCGGTTCCCACTCAGGAACGGTGTGTATGTGGGTGTGTATGGTTGTTCGTCTCTATATGTGCCCTGTGACTGGCTGGGGACAAGTTCTGGGGTTATTCCTCCTTTCAGCTGGGATAGTCTCCAGCTATTCCCACAACCCTCTTTATTATAAGCGGTGTTGAAAATGTATGGATAATACAAGAACAAAAATAATAATAATAAATTGGATTAACGCACCATGAAAGGATGCTGGTTTGCTCACCATGACAACAACACACCTCATCTCTGATTGGCTGAAATATGAAGCAGAAAACAGGTAGATTTTACCAATTTTGTTGTTGTTTTTTATTAACAACAACTAAAATAAATCCAACATTGTCAATATCATTGAGCTCTTACGATTCATTTGTCTCTGCAGTGAAACAGACTGGTACAACTCTGTACACATCACTATGTTGTGGTGTCCAGGTTAAGGTAAGGTCAGCTTTTCCATGTTCACCATCAGCGAACTCTTTATTCATATTGTGCGGGCCGCTGACCTGAAAGCCATTAATGCTTCGAGAAAACAAGGACAGAAAAAAAGGCAAGAAATCATCTCTGAATGTCTTGATAGCATATATCTCAGTTATGTTAGAAATGTTTTCGAGATAATAAATGTTGAATGGAAGGGAGGCCTTACGTAGCACGATGAGCCTGTGCTTTGGTGTGAAGAACCAATTCGTCACCAACTGTAGCATGAAGCACATCACCATGTTTGGGTGTTGGGTCCAAAAAGTTGGGTTGCACATGACCAAGTTCACAAATCGGCAGTGAAGGGAGGACTGGAAAAAAAAGACACTTACTGAGACACAGAAAAACAACAAATGACTTTACTGGCTGCTACTTTATTTGTGCATCTTGAAAGGAAAACAAATACTGTACAGCACTTGGGCCATGTTTGCAGCTGACGCCTGACACTTTGCAAAAATGCCCCCCCCCCCCTGTTTTGGGAGAGCACTGCAAGCGCACAATAAACTTAAAAGCTATGGAATTGGAAGTGCCAGTCAAACAAACATATGACTGAGTTACAAAAATGAAATGTATCACTTTTTCCGGGGCAGCCAGCAACCACATAAAATCCATGTTTTGTTTGATTGAACTCATTATGAGTGCATGGGAGTTGCATGATTTCCTGCGGAACGTGACTTTGAAATCTTGGCATCAATGGCTGCAGTGCATTGAAATAAGACCAACGCACTTGAAAATGCAGAGTTGAAAGGAGTTTGGTCGCAGGGGTTGAGGCATGACTGTCGTGATTCTGTTTTAGTGTGCATAGCAGGTCTGTTCGTGTGTGTGGGGGCTCTTTCTCCTGGCAGGATGGGCTGGCACCAGGTTGCAATATGATCACCAGCCTCTCCATAAAAGGCCTGGTCTGCAAGCAAGATGCTGGTGGAGCATCATTTGGGAATGCCATCCCACATGTTTTGCTGGTGTCCACTGCACTTCTGGTGAATATTCTCCAGTGAGCCAGTCCTCTGTGCCTCCACCGCTTGCATGCTGAGTTCCCCTTTCCCTTTTTAGAATAAACTGTTGTCGACATGTTTTGCTACCTGCTTCTGTCTCTGTCTGCTAAGTGATGACCAAAATAAAGCCTCCTGAACCGCTGGGGTATTGCTTCAGCTAAAGATTCATTACACGATGCTTCATTCACATTAGCTCTCCACTGACGCCTGCTGTACTTTGGCAATTATAGCAGATGAAATTTTAAAAAGCTTTGAAATATTATTTAAGATGATCTCAATATGACGAAAATCAAGCTTTGTGAATCCTTGAGGCTTTCCAGCCAATGGGTTTGCACATGGTGTTAAGCAATCTCGCTTCATTTGCTCGATGGTGTCATCAAGCAGTAAGCTACAGTGAAAGAGTGAAAGAACAATGGAGGCTTAATGGTGACTATCCATCCATCCATCCATCCATTTTCCAATCCGCTTATCCTCACAAGGGTCGCGGGGGGTGCTGGAGCCTATCCCAGCTGTCATCGGGCAGTAGGCAGGGGACACTCTGAACCGGTTGGCAGACAATCGCAGGGCACATACAGAACAACCATCCGCGATCACACTCACACCCATAGGGACAATTTAGAGCAGTAGTTCTGAACCTGGGTTCGATTGAACCCTCGGGTTTCGGTGAACCAGTCTCAGGGGTTCGACGGAGTCTGCCATGGAGGTTAAGACACGCCCGACTCAACATGTCAAT